TTATATGGAAGCATAAATGAGCATAATAACCTAAAGAATCCTTAGAAAACTAAATAAAGTGGGAGGTATCACCCTTCCAGTGTTTAAACTTTACTATAAGGCTACAATAATCAAAGCAGGCTGGGCGTGGTGGCTCAAGCCTGTAATCTCAGCACTTTGGAAGGTTGAGATGAGAGGTTTGCCTAAGTCCAGGGGTTCAAGACCAGCCTGGGCAACTTGGTGAGACCTTGTCTCTACAGTAAATCAAAAAATTAGCCAGGCATGGTAGTGCATGCCTGTAGTTCTTGGAAGGCTGAGGCAGAAGGATTGCCTCAGCCCAGCAGGTAAACAATAAAGCGGCCATGAGTGTGCCACTGCACTCCAACCTGGGCAACAGAGTGAGACTCCAACTCAAAATAAAAATAAAAACAGCCTGGTATTGGCACAAGAAGAGGCATATGGACCAATAGAAAAGGATAGAGATTCCAGAAGCAAAGCCTCAATTTCTCAACCAACTCATTGTTGACAAATCCTCCACCAACAACCATTGGGGAGAGGGGAACCTATTCAGTAAATGGTGCTGGGAAAACTGGCTGATCACATTCAGAAGATTGAAACAGGACCTCTACCTATCGTTATTCACAAAAATCAACACTAAATTGATCAAAGCCCTAGACATAAAACCTCAAACCACAAGAATAGTAGAAAATGCAGGAGACACCCTTAAAAAATTGGATTAGGCCACCAATTCCCGATCAAAACCCCAGGTGTCCATGCCATAAGTGATAAGATAGACAAGTGGGACCTGATTAAACAGAGTAGCTTTTGCAAAACCAAATAAACCATCAGGAAAGTGGGGAGACCACCCCATTATGGGGAAAAATATTTACAAACTATATATCTGGCAGAAGCCTAAAATCCAAAATCTACAAGGAAGTCAAATGTGCCAAAAGGAAAAACAAACAGCTCTAATAAAAAAAAAGGGCAAAAGACATGAATAGACACTTCTCAAAAGAAGATATATGGGCAGTCAACAGAAATATGAAAAAGTGCTTAGCCTCACTAATCATCAGAGAAATGCAAATCAAAACCACATTGTGATAGCACCTAACCCCAGTTAGAATGGCCTTCACCAATACAACAAAACAACAGATGCTGGTAAGAATGCAGAGAAAAGGGAATGCTTCTATGCTGCTGGTGGGAATGCAAACTAGTTCAACCTCTATGGAAAACAGTGTGGGGATTTCTGAAAGAACTATAAATTAACCTTCCCTATGACCCAGCAATCACCCTACTGGGAATACACCCGTAGGAACTCAAAGTATTCTATAAAAAAGATAACTGGGGCTGGCTCCACCAGGTGAGTGGCCCGAGGTCCCTGTATGCTGGCCCCCACCGCCAGCCCTGCCCTGCCCTGGCGCATATTTCCATTTTATTTTATTTTATTTTATTTATTTACTTTTTATTAATCAGTATTTTTTATTATGGTTTTGTGGGGTACAGTTAAGGGTTAGGTGTACAATTACATTTCATTCAGGCACCCTGTTGATAAGAGGTGTTTTCCCATCCCCAGACATATATTTGCTACTGTTAATCCCATCCCCCTCCCCCCCATAGTTTCCCAGTACCGTCATTCATTTTCTTATAGTATTACATTGGATGTTCAAGGTCCATTATATGAGTGAGAACATGTGATATTTGGATCTTTGTTTCTGTGAGAGGTCGCTCAGTATTATAGGCTCTAGTTCCATCCAGGTTGCTGCAAAATTCATGATTTTGTTCTTTTTTATGGCTGCATAGTATTCCATCATGTAGATGTACCACATTTTTTTAATCCAGTCCTCTTTTGATGGGCAGCATGGTTGTTTCCAGGTTCTTGCTATTGTGAACAACGCTGCGATAAACATACGTGTGCAGGTATCTTTTTTATAGAGTGATTTGTGTTCTTCAGGGTATATTCCCAGTAGGGGGATTGCAGGGTCATATGGAAGGTCAATTTTTAGAGCTTTTAGGAATCGCCACACTGCTTTCCACAGAGGTGGCACTAGTTTACACTCCCACCAATAGTGTAGAAGTGTTCCCTTTTCACCACACCCTCTTCAGCAGCTGTTATTTTTTGACTTGTTGATAATTGTCATTCTGACTGGAGTTAGGTGGTATCTCAGTGTGGATTTGATTTGCATCTCCCTGATGATTAGTGAGGTTGAGCATTTCTTCATGTGTTTGTTGGCTGCTCGGATGTCTTCCTTTGTGAAGTGTCTGTTCATATCTTTTGCCCATTTTATAATGTGGTTGTTTGTTTTCTTCTTTTCAGTACGTTTCAGTTCCTTGTAGATCCAGGACGTTAAGCCTTTGTCAGACCTAGAGTTGGCAAATACTTTTTCCCAGTCTGTAGGCTGTCTCCCTGCTCTCTTGATGGTATTTCCATTTTAAACCACCGCCCGCGCCCCTCAGCCGCAGCCAGCTCAGCTGCCCGCGCCTCCGGCCCGGGAAATGGCGGAGGCTGCGGAACCGCGGAACTGTGTAGAGGGGGCCAGAGGATGCGAATGGGCCCCGCGCCGTAGACAATGAAGCCGCGGGCGCCGCCACCCGCCCTGGGCCCAGCGCACCGAGGCCGCACCTGCCGGCGAGGGCGCCCCAGCGCCTGACCGCCGCCCC